CAATTTTATCGAATAAATTAGATTATCATAGCTCAAAAGTATGGCAGTCTAAACGAACCAATCAAGTACCCACGGTAAAACAATTTACGGAATTTTGCAATAAATTCGTTGGATATTTCTAAAAATATTCATCTGGCCGATCAAGAATTTAATGTATCATCTAAAGTGGACCTGCTTATTGGGACCGAGCTTTTCTTTGATATTTTAAACGACGGAAAAACCCCATAAACTTTACCTTCAAAATTTCCATTTAGGTTGCATTATTGAGGGAGTGGTAAACTTGAACAAAAACAGCAACCCAGCAGCTGTGTGCAATTTAATTACCAAGCGTGGGGAAAACCAACATTTGAGTAGGCAATTAGAAGCATTTTGGAAGGTAGAAAGTTGTAATCCGGTTACTAAGAATTCGTACAGAAAAGAAGAGGTATAATAGGTATACAAGCCGAAACTCATTTTGTAAACACTTTTAAACGGGAGATTTATGGTAGGTATCCGTACCCATAAAGGACAATGAAAAATAATGAATGGAGTGATAAATTATAGGTAAGTACAGACTCATCACATTTTGTACAGTTTAGATAGGATTTATTCGGCAAACTTTCAAGCTGACGTCATTAATTTTTTGGATGGAATGATAAATGACAAGAAGAGACTCACCATATTTTGTACATTTTAGATAGGATTTATTCGGCAAAATTTTGTGGTGACGTCATAAATTTTTTAGGGGGGATGAGCAAATACACTTTGATCAAAAACTTACCATGCTTACGATAACTTTAAAACATCTTCAAAATTTCAAAGCATTCGGTTTTGTAGTTCCTGAGGAAGAAATAGGTCTCCCATTTCCGTCTGTCTGTCCGTCTGTCTGCCGTTTCGGATTTTTATTATACAGATAATCTCCGAAAGTACTGGACCGATTGTTGTGAAATTTTGTACTTATATTAGGAATATCATGCAGATGGTAAAACGCTAACCAAAATTTGTCTAATCATCCCCACCACTAATGCGATGACGTCACTTCAAAATTGTACATAGTAAATGGGTTTTCAATTGTATAAAATAACATAGTCCTACACATGTAGTTTACAACTCTGAATCGACTTTTCACCCGAAACCTCCAGATTTTTGGAAAAAAAATCAAAATTATAAAACAACATTTTGAAATTTAATTTTTAATCTGCTAACCAGAATGCTTTGAAATGTTGCAGATGTTTTAAGGCTCTTAAGACCATCATAAATCTTTAGTCAAAATATATTTGGTTATCCCCTCAAAAAACTTGATGACGTCCGCTCAAAAATTTGCCGAATAAATCCTATCTAAAATGTGAAAAATATGATGAGTCTGTACTTGTGATTTATCATTCCAATCACATTTTTTGGATTTGCATATACAGGATGACTCAAAAAAATTAATGAATGCATGAATTTATTTTATTGGTTTAATCAGGATTTACACATCCGAATGCTTTGAAATCTTGGAGATGTTTTAAAGTTATTATAAGCATGGTAAATTTTTTATCAAAATGTATTTGCGCATCCCCCCTAAAAAATTGATGACGTCACCCCAAAATTTTGCTGAATAAATCCTATCTAAAATGTACAAAAAATGATGAGTCTGTACTTGTGATTTATCATTCCATTCATATTTTTCGATTTGCATATACAGGGTGACTCAAAAAAATTAATGAATGCGTGAATTTATTTGATCGATTTAATCAGGAATTACAAAACCGAATGCTTTGAAATCTTGGAGATATTTTAAAGTTATTATAAGCATGGTAAACTTTTGTTCAAAATGTATTTGTTCATCCCTCCTAAAAAAATTGATGACGTCACCCTTAAATTTTGCTGAATAAATCCTATCTAAAATGCAAAAAATATGATGAGTTTGTAATTGTGATTTATCATTCCATTCATATTTTTTAGATTTTCTTAAGAGGTGGCTCAAAAAAATTAATGAAGTCAATTTATTTTTTTGATTAAATTAAAGGCAACACTTATTATTAGTATTACATTGGACCAACCCAATTTGGTAGACACAAAATTTTTTAAAGTAAAAACTCGGTTGAAACATAAGGGTAGCACGCTTATTTACATCTATTTTAACATTACCGACGTGCATTTGTTTTGTGCGCTGACTAGGTTCCGCGAATGTGGTATAGACATGTTTATAATCAACCAATTGTGAATTCCACCGTCAAAAATTAAAATAAAACCCAATGTTTTATATAACAAGCGGAAGTCGAAGCAATAAAACCGATGGTCGTTTTGTTTACAGTTTCTCTGTTTGACTCTCACGTATGCTGTTACGCTTGTCATCTTAAATTAAGAATGCTTATACATAAACGATTTTCAGTTGCCTCTCATATTACACGCCGGCGCCGTATACGTGAGTAAATTGTTTCGTTATTTTATTGATTATAACAAATCAATATTCAAAACGACCCAATTCATTTTCCCAAAAATTTGGGAATACAACAATGTTATTCTTAGTATTACACTACATCTATCCCAACTGATATACGTATCCTTGCAAAAATGTTGATGACGTCATCGCAATTTTTTTTTAATTCCCACTACAAAAATGTAATGAGAAAAAAAACACAATAGGCATGCAGTCGTCAAGTTTCCGACAGCGAGGGAAATACTGTCTAAACTCTTTAGACCAATTTTTTTAATTGTTTTTGAAAGAAGTATAACTCAGCCGAGCCTCCCTTCTCAATGCATCGATGTTACGCCACTGATGACCCGGCTACAAGTCGCGCAACTTAAGCCCCGCCCCTGTACCCTTTCGTGGTGAAATTACTTCTACTTTGTTTATATTTTCTAGAGCAGCTTTCAAGACGAAAGGGTACAGGTGGTGGGAGTGCGCAGAACATTGTTTTGGTTTGGGCTTACAAATATCGTGCAAGCAGTGGCAGCGGCGATGAATATTTCGATTTTAAATATTAAAATATTATTGCGGTTAATAAAAATATCACTTTTCTATTTTATTATCGTTGACATTATAGAAAAAGAATTTAAACAATTAGTAGTGCTGTATGAGTTGAATAAAAAAGTAAGTAAAAGGAGTAAAAAGGTAATTTTTAGTGAGCAATAATAACTGTTAAATTAGGGTACAGTCGAAGCTCTAGTTATAAACGACAGTTATGCTAGAATATGAACTGTGGTTATTACTTCGATGTTAAAGACAGAAAACGTTAAGCCTTATTATCATCCGACTTTACGGTATCGATAAATTGTGCCAAAAAATAAAAAAACATATAATTATAGTGATAGGTTGCTTATTCTCAGAGTTTTAATCCCGCTTTTATCTAAAGATTTAACTGTTGATATAAGACTAGTCGACTATAAAATAGTATATGATACTGGTTCTGGTTTATAATGAGGGGTTCGTGAAATTTTTTACTCATGCTATAATCCCTCACATTATAAACTCGTTTAATAATTAAAAATACCAAATTTTGTGTGATAGATTATCATAATTTATTGTTACGTAAGTCTATTTTTTTAACAAACAAATTAATTTATTTTTATTAAATGGTTGTCTGTATTCTTTTGTAGAAATTGCTCTTTTTTTAATTGTTTTTGAAAGAAGTACAACTCAGCCGAGCCTCCCTTCTCAATGCATCGATGTTACGCCACTGATGGCCCGGCTACAAGTCGCGCAACTTAAGCCCCGCCCCTGTACCCTTTCGTGCTGAAATTACTTCTACGTTGTTTACATGTCAGCGTAAAAAAAGGTTGTTCACAGTAAAACCAGAGAACACAGAGAAGCGTCATAGTTTAAATGAAATGACGGTTGCGGACTCCTCAATTTACGTTGGTAGCAGTGTTTGTTTCTAACTAGGGATAAAAGTAACTAGAAGAAATGTCATAATATTTTTAATGACGCGTTTTATTTCCGACAAATTGACACTAAATTTACCAGAATATTACAAGCTGCTTACTGTTTCCTTGACTTTCATTCAGGTCACACGAATTACAATTATAATGAAACAAGGTTTTTATGGGCGTCGACTATTTAAATTTGGCGCTTGCCTTTGGCAGTTGAGGACTCCAGTGTCAATAAGGGTGGTTTTGCAAAATCAGCCTCTATGTCGCTTCTCTATGTTCTCTGGTAAAATGTCCAATCCTGCGGTACAATATTCTCGAGTCACTCATTGAATGACCCGATTTCTTTGAATTTCCTTTCACAATACGTACCTCAACTTGGTACCATGCTGTGAGCATTGTAAGGAATTATTGGTTTCGAGGTAAGAAATGTGGGTTGCAGCAATCCGAAAATGTCTACACTATCCACTGGTAAAGAGCCTTAGTGGGAACAATCAGCCCCAATTTGGCTGACGCATTTTATAACGCTTGGATTCAAGTCATGTCCCAACCACTCCATTGGTAAGCACCATCATCGACTTTGTGATATACCACTTATTTAATTTTTCTTATCTTTCTCACCTAGATTATATTGTAGGGGAGAGGTGTCTGAGATGGCATACTAGGTTAAGATGGCACAGGTGGGATTTTATTGCTCCTGAAAGTTGTCTAAGTTATTTTGCTAGTGGACAATAGTGTTTGGTGTGTTATCTAACTACTGTGAAAATTTTGTTGCGGTTAGAGTCTTTGTTTATGAGGTAAGGATTTTTTTATGTTAAAATGGGTAAAACATCTTATTTCTGTTAATAACATATACTTGATTTATTCATTAAACGAATGAATAATACGAAACACTGCATCACATACGTTAATTAGTGACTTCTAACCTATATTTTCCGCTAGTTACTTTATGTGTTGACTTTATTTTAAAGATTCTGTGGGCCAAATATTAACGGAGACTACAATCAGGCTAAGATGGCATATTTCTTGTATGGATAAGATGGCATAGTATGCCGTCTTAACCTTGTTAAGTATTACGTCAAATATGTATTTTAAAAAATTAAGTTTTTTAGAAAATGGGCAGATATCAAAGAAAGACTTCACGACAGAGTTGGGACCCAGTTGCAATGGCAAAAGCAATAGACGCAGTGACAAAGAAAGAAATGGGATGGTTAAAGGCGTCCAAATCTTTCGGTGTTCCAGCAACGACTCTTAGAAGGCGGATTAAAAATCAAATGGGAGCTAATAAAGGATACCTGGGAGGACGTAAAACAACTTTCACCCCAGAAGTTGAAGAAGAAATTTTGGAACATATAAAGAGACTTGAAGAAATGTTTTTTGGTATAACCAGAAGAGACCTGCGGAAACTTGCGTATGATGTTGCTGAGAGAAACGGAATAGCACACAATTTCTCTAGTAAGGAACAACTAGCAGGATGGGATTGGGTGAAAGGATTTCAGTCGCGTCATCCTACAATTTCACTAAGAATACCAGAAGCTACATCGGCAGCGAGGCCACGCGGATTTAATAAGGTCGTAGTTAGTAAACATTTTGAAAATTTGTCACTGGTAATGGATAAGTACAAATTTGAACCGTCAAGAATTTGGAATGTAGATGAATCTGGACTATCCACTGTTCCGTCAAAGAACTCCAAAATATTTGCAACAAAAGGGAGAAAGCAAGTAGGTGTCCTGACTAGTGCAGAACGTGGCTAACATGTGACTGTGGTTTGCGCTATGAATGTTATTGGAAGCTATGTACCTCCAGCTCTAATTTTCCCACGAAAAAGGCTAAAAAATGAGTTAATGGACAATTCTCCTCCAGGTTCTGTGGCATTTGCTCAAGAAAAGGGTTGGATGACGGGACCAGTTTTTTTGCAGTGGCTTGATCATTTTGTAAAGTATGTTAAGCCATCACCAGAAGACAAAATTCTTTTAATATTAGATGGACATGGCAGTCACAAAAGCCTTGAAGTATTAGAATTTACTAAAAAACACGGAATTATTTTATTCTGCCTACCACCTCACACAACCCACCGCCTTCAACCACTGGATGTGACATTTTACAGTTCGCTTACAAATTACTACAACATTGAACTGGAAAAATGGTTAAAGAATCATCCTGGCAGGGTGGTTACACATTTTCAAGTGGCTAGTATTTTGAAAAAAGCATATGCTCAAGCCACAACAATATCTACTGCAGAGAATGGTTTTTATCAAACAGGAATAATTCCTTTAAATCCCGACATAATTCCTGATTGGATGTACGTAGCTGCTGAGCCAACAAACATCGAAACAGAAAAAGTAGTATTATCAAATACAGAATCTGACAACCTTTCTTCTCAACCGTGCAGCTCAAATATGGCAGACGATTCTGGAAATTTGAATCCAGAAAAAAATACACTAAATGTTCAAGAAAGGTCAAGCCGAGGGTCAAGCTCATTAAATGTTTCTGTAGAGGAAATCTATCCTTTACCCAAAGCTCCTGTAGAAACCCAAAATCGAACCCAAAGAAGAAAAGGAAAAAGTGGAATAATAAATGCTACACCAGAAATTGTGGAGGCAAAGCGTTTGCATGCTGAAAAAGAAGCTAAATCTTTAAGAACGGCTGGTAAAAAGGCGTCAAAAAATTTAAAGAATGTTTTTGAACCTAATGAAAGTGATAACTCAGAAGATGACCCTTATGAAACTGATGATGAATATGGAGACACTGTCTGCATATATTGCAATGAACTGTTTAGTCATTCTCGTCCAAAAGAAGTGTGGTTGCAATGTCAAAAGTGTCTACAATGGTGTCATATAGACTGTGCTGGAGTCTCATCGAAGACAAAGCGATTTACTTGTGATTTATGCAAATGAAAAAAATATTTTCCAATGAACGTTCTTTATTATATTTGATATAGCTCCTTTTTTGTAAACATTTTTATGTTTTTGTTAAATATTAGAAAGGTTATTTAGTTTGTCGTTAACATTATATTGCAATATACTTAAAGTATGGTTACTTTTTACCTATACCTACCCAGCTCTATAGCTGCAAAATAAAAAAAAATATATATATATAAAACCATATAGTAGGTATGTCATCTTAGCTAAATTTATTTGGGTAAGATGGCATATCAGGATATGATGGCACATATCCCATAAATCAACTGTGGTGAAGAATTACGTCTGTATTGAGATTTTCAGTGATAGAGGGCTATATACTGCGCCTAAGAGTATCACTTATGTTTATAAAAAACAAACAACTGATTTAGAAAAAATTCGTAACTGTTAAATATGCCATCTCAGACACCTTTCCCTTACTTGACATTTAGAGTAATAACTTGTCGAAGATCAGCTCAAAAGAAAAATAGGTAAGACAAATGAGCAAAAATGCATGTTATAATCCAGTTGTCACAACAAATATTTTAGGTTCAAGTTTATAAACAGTTAAGAACATTATTGCATAAACGGACAGTTTGGCGTTCGACAAAATATCTGTGGAATTTAAAAATCAGCTGGAATGTGAAGCCGAAACCCAACCATTCTTGGATTATTTTAACACCTACTACGCTCATAAGCCTGAATTGTGGGCACATTATTGTAGGATGCACACTGGGCTGAAGACAAACATGCATATAGAGAGGATACATCGAATTTTAAAATACATTTATTTAGGTAGGAAAAATGTGAAGCAACTTGATTGCAATTACAGCCATAATGAAGTTTGTTCAAGATAAATTGTGTGACACCTTAACCGTAAGTTAAGGGAGCGAATATTACTGATCATAACGACAGTCGAGTATAAATTATCAATCTTATTCATGAAACGCAGCACGGCTGTATGCAGAAGAAATCTACTACTACCAATCTAGCGTGTTTACCTCAGTTTATTTCCGAATCCTTGGATGAAATTGGTCAGATTGACGTAATATATACGGATTTCTCCAAGGCGTTTGATTGCCTCGATCACTTCATACTTCTTAACGAACTTGACAACTATGGTTTTTCTAACGCCTTAATTCTCTTATTTAAGTCATATCTACTTAATCGAACACAATTAGTTGAATATCAAAATGTTCGCTCCCAATTGTTTAGGCCCACTTCAGGAGTACCACAAGGTTCAAACCTAGGTCCCCTGTTGTCCCTATTATTTATAAATGATCTGCCAACCACAATGAATTGTCACAAGCTTATTTTTGCAGATGATTAAAAAATTTATTCTAGAATTGAATCCTCTCATGACTGTCATCATCTCCAAAATTGTGTTAGTGAGTTAAGTCGATGGTGCAATACCAATAGATTAAAACTGAATATAGACAAATGTTGTGTTCTCACTTACACTAAAAAGAAGCAGCCCATTTTTGTTGATTAGTCAATCAATGATAACACACTATCTAGAGTTTATAATATTAAAGACCTAGGAATTATGTTTGACTGTGAACTTAACTTTATCGAACACATTAATCCCATTGTAGCGTCAACATTTAATAATCTGGGATTTATAATCAGAAACTGTAAAAATTTTAGTAATATTGATTGTTTAAAATCATTATACTTTGCATACGTTAGGGCCAAACTAGAATATGCTTCAATCATCTGGAATCCGCTATACAATACACATAAATTACGATTGGAAGAAATTCAAAGATGTTTCTTAAAATATTTAGCCTTTATTTCAGATGACATTTATCCTGAGCGAGGTTTTGACCACCAAGTACTGCTAGATAGGTTTCAGTTTAACTCCCTTGAAAATAGGAGAATTATAGTTTCTATTAAGCATCTTTATGACTTACTTCACAACCGAGTTGATTGCCCATACATGTTAGCCAAACTGAATCTACTTGTGCCAAGAATTAATGCGAGAAATTCGTTAACTCTTTATTGCGACAAAGCCAGAACAAATGCAAATATCAAAAGTCCTATCTACGTGATGTGCTCCAACGCGAATAATTACTGTAATAGTGTAAATCTATTTTTTGACTCTTTCCAAACAGTTCGTGGTATGACGCAAAATTCTTTATCCTAAGCAAATGTTACTTTTTTTTTACTTTTCTGTTATTAGATTTAATTATATATATTTTAGTTTTGTATATATATTTTTTTTAGTTTAGTTATATCTGGATTCATAATTTTACAATTATTATTTCTTTTTCCTGTAATTGGGTGATTACACCTGTTGGAAAATAAATCATTATTATTATTATTATTATTATTATTATTAAGTGTTTATCGTGTTTATTACTTCTTCAATACATGAGGACGTTGCAAAATACTATGTACACGTATAACAGATAAACTTTAAGTTTTTAATACAATAGTTGAAAAAGGGGATTCTTGTCTTCAAACATGTGCATAACGCTATTATTATTAGCTGCAGTTTTCGGTGGAAAATCAAGAAAATAATGCTTTTTTAGGTTACAGTATTAGATGAAGAGAATAAATTGTACATTTACGAGGAAACCAAAAAAGCCGCCGCGCAGAGTAATTGTACTCTTAACTCTTAAGTAAGAATAAATCACAGTTGGAAGTGGATCAAAGGAAAAAGATGATTAAAACAAATTTCTTGAAGATGTAGGAATCTCCGATTACAATGGAGCAGGTTGATGTTCTAGAAAAAGTAATCACTCCGAAACGTTCAACACTTGCAGCACTGTCTTCTGCAAATCTCTGCTCCATTCTTCATTAGTGTTAAAGTTATGGGGAATTTTTGTTTTGCTTGGCTGTCAGAGAATGTCATCTATACTTATATAATAAAGCTGAAGCTTTTGTTTATTTGAACACGCATATCTCAGAAACTACTTGTTCAAATTCAAAACATCTTTTTGTGTTGGATAGTCCATGTATTATATTTACATATAGGCTATGTAACATCACGCTACGAACATTAGGAGCGAAGTAGCAATGAAAAATTCGGAAAAACGAGAAAATTATTCCTCCTTTGACAGCTTCCGTTGCTTACGCTGCTTAAACGGTTAAAGTTACGTAAAAATCATGTATGACGAAATTGTTCCCCTCTAAAAGTTTTAAAGAAAAGTCCGCGACAGCATATGTCTATCTTTTAAGGTCGAGTCAGTATAACCTTTTTTATGGTAATGAAATTTGTTCTAAAATAATAATGCATTATGTATAAAATTCTCGCGTCACAGTGTTTGTAACCGAACTTCTCCAAAATGGGTTGACCAATTTGTATGAAATTTTTTATCTATATATATTCGGTAGGTCTGACAATAAGTTGTAAACTATTTTTTTTTTTCATATCGCTCGTTTTTCAAATATCATTGGCCCCCTTAAACTGAATATCTGTGAAAATTAAATCAGCAGGTATATGAACGTCTGGTTCTAAAACCCTTTTCCTAAAAGTAAATTCTTTAATTTCGTAGTCAACAACTCCTACCCGAGATTTTGGTTTTTATAATTATGCTATTTCACAATACTGCTTTGAAATTATTAAAACTAAATTATTCCCAACAATGAAATTTATACTTACATACTTCTTTTGAGGTTGTTGATACAACATGACTGCCACACTGTTCAACTAGACTTTTCTATTAAACATTGGAACTGAAGACTGTGATGCCATCCTGGTGTACCTAAACCCACACGATTTCGTCTGCACCAACTTCTTGACTAATTGTTGCTTTTATATTTTCATTTCCACTATATGAGATGTACATCTCCAAAAGCTTTTTAATTCGTGATGCCCGTAACTTGACCAAAACAACGATTCATTGTTTCAAATTGTGGACATGTTTCTTCGCCGATTCTTCTTCTTTCGGACTTTTCGTCTGCGGCTGTTTTCCGCTCTTCATTTTTCAGGTTCTCGTACCACTTTTTCAGAGGACCTTTTCCGCACTAATTTATATTTTTATTTTCAATGGTAGGTTTGGATTCATACACTAAATCCATATTTAAAACCTCATCCCGTGGACAATTAGTCATTTTTGTGCGCTATTCAGCATTTTGTTGTTCCATTACTTTTTTTTTGTAAACTACATGAACACATACAAGCACCACAGTATAGAGATCCTCGTAATGATACTGTGCAAGCACTTCCAATCACATCACAAGTACATAACGTTGCAACCAAAAATATACAATGGTACGACAAAAAATTGAAAGGCAACAAAAGATACAACCAATAATACAAAAGCGAAGCTACAAGTAACCCACCATACAGAAACGAAGCTAAAGGCAACCAGCCATACAACAAAAGCATGACGTTTATTATTTATAAAGTACTGGGTTTGGAAAGACAGCAAATGACACAAAGACAAAGCTAAAAGCAATTAACCATACAGTAGTAAAGCTATAGGCAACCAATTATGCAGTAGTAAAGCTGAAGACAACTAGCCATACAGATAATGTACGACGTTTATCATTTATAAAGTACCACGTTTGGCATTTATAAAGTGCAACGTTTGTCGTTTCTAAAGTTCGGCATTCCTTATTTATAAAGTGCAACGTTAATGAATTATGAAGTACGACGTTAAGCATTTATTAAGGAAGGCGTTCGTCGTTTATTATATGCAACGTTCTGCAATTACTGCTGTTTTAATAGGCCTCCATACTAACAGGGCGGACCTTGGTTGGGGAAAGCATGCGTCCCTGGCCCCTACTCGCGTACTAATGCGGCCGCTTGGAAATGTTTGGCTCCGATCGATGTCAAACCCACTATTATAGGTAACGGAGTGATTTTGTGGCGTGCGAGGTGTTCTCTCGAGATACCGACCAACGAATGCATCCTCTCGTTATCACGGACTGTCTGTGAGTCTTATCCAATACTTTTAAAAGAAATTCGGATTTATGACGAAATGAATTTCGCAGCACGTTTCCGCTGTTCTTCGGTGTCTTAAGACGGCGGGTT